ACCAATATTCCTCTATTAGTCATTTTAAAAATAAAATGAAAAAAGGTGTACACGGATACATATTAAAATCATGCCGGACCCGGAAGTAAGAAAAGGAACTAGGGACATATGGGTCACAACTCTCTCTCTCTCTCTCTCTCTCTCTCTCTCTCTCTCTCTCTCTCTCAGACAATTAATAATATACTGACGGACTTTAAAAACGCAACACAGGTTTTTTCCTAATTATCATTTTTCAATTTTTTAAAAAAACTTTTATTGCAAACTTCACCCACCATACATAGTGTTGATTTTTAAAATCCATCACCTGACTTACCTGCGTTCATTGTTTGCGCAACGTGAGTAGTATCGCACGAAATTTTCAGGAATCTTTTCAAAACACGCGAAAAGGTAAAAAGGAATTTCGTCGTTACTAAACAGCTTTGTTAATGATAGCATAGGCAGCACTAACAGAGGAAATCAGAATAAAGACTATGCCACGTTTAAATAATGAAATGCGAAATCGAGCTATCGGTTTGCTGCAAGCTATAACACAATTGATGTATACACTAATGTTTATTAGTGTGTTTATTTATGCATTATCTATTATATATGTTGTATGCATTATCTATTTATGTTTAACTGATATCTCTGTATCTGAGTTCTCTTATAATAAAAATACTATCTTATTGACAAACAAGTGTCTCAGGGCATAATAATGCCTGTGTTTGTCTTAAGAACCAATGTACTGAAATGTGATACCTCTTTTAATCCGAATTATGGAATTAATTTTAAATATCTCTAAAAAGAGATTGGATCATCGGATTGTTCTGTTGGTCCGAATTTCATCTATTCATCTTAAGGAATACATTTCTATTTTTGGCTTAAAAGGTGATTAACTTAAGCCACTAAGACTAATTAACAGCTGGAATCGGATAACTAACTTATTCTGCCTTTCATTGACCAAACTCATTTTGATCCAAAACATACCCTAAGTGGTTTAATAGGATCAGTAAGATATAAACTATGACCAGCAGTTTGCCTGGACACGGGTGTTGCCATACACCAGTACCTTGGAGACTGGACATGGGTATAAAAGGGTCCAAACCGGAGGAGACGGCCAGACTGAGAGAGAGAACACTACCGATCAGTACAGATCAAAGACTCTGGAATATCTCCTCCCCTGAACTGGGAAAGTGAACTAAAACATTTCAATCTATTTTTGGACTTTATAAATCTATACGATTACCTTTAATTTATTGTGAACTTTATCTTATTGTTGGACTTGTGACTTTATATAACGAAATTAAAAATGTCTTTGAATTGTATAATCTTGTCTTTATTCTAGCCTTGCTCTGTTACAAAGCAGGCGTTAGTCAGCGGGAGGTATCAAGGCGCTTTAATGTTCATTCCTGTACAATAAGCCGGTTGCTGCGTCGGTTTCATCAGACAGGATCAATAAATGATCGTCCAAGACCAGGTCAACCTTTTGTGACAACACCACGTCAACAAGCGTACATACGACAACGTCATTTGCGAGAACGGTTTACGGCTGCTTCGACCACGGCGAGAGAAATTATTGGACGTCATGGGAGGCCTATTCATCCTAGAACAGTTTCTAGAATATTAAAACGCCATGGGATCTGCTGCAGAAGACCTTACAAAGGGCTACAACTTAAACCGCATCACCGACGTTACAGACTGCAATGGGCCAGGCAAAATTTGAATCAACGCCAGAATTGGGCACAGGTTGTCTTTTTCGATGAGTCTAGATTTAATGTGAGCAATGCAGACGGCAGATGTCGAGTTTAACGTCATTTACATGTTATATTTAGAGTACGAGTTTCCTACTGTATCGGAGATACAGGGCGGGGCTTAAGGCGAGAGCGATAGCTCGAGCCGGGCCCCGCCCTGTATCTCCGATACAGTAGGAAACTCGTATTCTAAATGACTTGTGACATGACCTTTCTTATGACCTCGCTAATTTACATGTGTTTTTGGGTATATATCTCTCAACCAATCAGATGATTTTGCAGAAAGTTGATTTAGTACCCAATTTTTAGCAATCGCAACTGAAATGCCGAGTGAGGTGGACGTGCAGGTATCTATCAATTTAAATAATTATAATTATGAGATGCATTATATAATATTTTTTCCCAAAATTTAATTTATATTTGATTCCTTTCTATTTAGCTCTTGCTGACTTTTTTTTAAATGTAAGCTACGAATTTAGTGCAAAACATTTTGATACATAAGAATCATATATGGGAATTATTTGAAGCAAAAATGTTTCGGGGAGCACTGTCGGGGAGGTTGTATTCTTAGAGAAATGTCCGACAATGTCATCGACCGGTCCATACATGCTCCAAATTGAAATAAACAAATGTAAGAAAGGGGGCATATTACCTTCATGTTTGAAAAAAGAATGTAGAGGAACCAAACTGAAAGGTAGATCCAGCACTCACTCACGCGCGTCGGTATCCCCCCTTTCGAGTTTTTTCTTTTTATTTTTTTGGCTTTCGTAAATTATGTTTGCTAAACTTGTATACATGCACTTTTAATTTATCAACACGAAACGATCACGCACATATAGTGTCAGGCCTGATTATGAATCTACCCCCCATCCCCCCACGAAACCCCCGATTTTCCAGTTAGGACATTTTTTTTTCCGAAGAAAACCATTTGTGTACTGCCCCCACTCTCTCCTTTCTCAAATCTTTGAATCCGCCACTGGTAACTTTACGTTGTAAAATTCTATTCTTAATTCATCTCAAATTTTGAATAAGTACTAACAGCGCTATCTTACGATTTGATTGATTCTTATGTCTATATCATTTAAGATACGGATTCAGTTTTCCGTCATCGCTAAAAATAAATCATACTGTATCGTTGATATTTTGCAGATACAGTACAGTTTCTGCTCATTTGCATAAGAAACGCCTACTAAAAGTGTTCTGTATCGCAGTACGGTTGACTTCAAAGGAAAACTCGCCGGGTCATGTCACAAGAACGTTATGTAGACAAATGTGTCCTTGAACGCGACAGATTCGGAGGGGGTAGCGTCATGGTCTGGGGTGCGATTAACCACTGTTTTCGCTCACAACTAGTCATTTTGAACGGAACCCTCACCTCCAGGAGGTATGTGGACGAAATTCTTCAGCCTGTTTTAGCATCATTATTGCAGCAATATAGACGAGGCAACTGGTTAATTTTTCAACAGGACAATGCACGTGCGCATACGGCAAGGTTGACACAAAATTTTCTTCAAACGAACGGCATCAACGTCCTTGACTGGCCCGCTATGTCGCCAGACTTAAATCCAATCGAGCATTTGTGGGATGAGCTGGGAAGACGTGTGCGCAGCCGCCAGCCTCAGCCTCAGAACCCACAGGAACTTGGGAGAGCCTTGTTGGCAGAGTTGCAGAATATCCCTAAGAGGACTATTCGAAGTGTCTGCCAGTCAATGACATGTCGCCTTCGCGCCGTTATCAGGGCCAATGGAGGCCATACTCGGTATTAGTGACCAAAACCACAATTTTGACCCACCCCTCTTTGACATTCTGTTCAAATGTAGCCTTTTTGTGAATAAAATGATGTTAAAAATCAAAGAACATTGGGCATTTAACATGGTAGATTATATACCAGAAATAATTTATTTGTTAGATCTATGAATAAATTTACAATTCAGAAAATTATCAAGCATTGCGTTTCTAAAGTCCGTCAGTATATATAATACATGTACACTATAATAATTGTATGTAACAAGACCCTACTTGAGGAATATTTAAAAAAAAACACATGTATTAATGGTTGGATAAATATGTTAATCTATAAGAATTATTGTGTTCTTCCAATATTCTTACATAAATCTTGAATCCTGTTCAATCATAGCTACTCATACTCATTAGTTTCACCAGACAATGGCAAGAAAACTGAATCTTCACAAAAGAAGATGTGTGAACAAGGTGTGCAAAATGCCTATAGCTTCAAAAATATAAAACTCATTCAATTTGTGAATTTCGTATTAAGAGTAAAGATCTCATATTAAAATTTATGAAATTATGTTAAACAAAACTTTTCTGAGGAAAAATTTCTCAGCAAAAGTTATTCTGTTTAAAAAAATGGTATTCGTGGGTTCGAACCCTAACAATAAAAATCCCGAGTATTTGAATCAACAAACAAGAAAACTGCATTCAATTCAAGTTCATGGAAGCTAAAACCAAAACACAAAAAAGAAAGAAATTAACAAACAATAAAAAACAAACAGAACAAATTAAAATTAAACAAAAAAGTTGATTTTTATTTTCAGTTAACCAATAATCTCTGTAAAATATCATTTTAATATCAAGATAGTGGTGTTGCTCATGTTAATTCGTTTGAAGGACTCATAAAGAAATGTGTCATAAGAACATTACATATAAATGACACGTTTACATTGTGTTAAAATGACAACGGTACCAAAAGTTTCACTCTCTGACCCGTGTATAATTAAGAACCCTCTATACACTGCACACTAGAGAGTTCTGATTTTGTGGTATTTTTATGCAGATAGAGTGATCTGCCCTTTGATCAAGAATAAAATAAATTGAAATGTACAGTTTATTACTTAATTTGCGATCAAATCAAGCATTCATGAGACTTTAATAGGCCAAGATGAATAGATAGAACACTTCATGTGCAGGTATTTGCCCACTTAAGTAAACGACAGTGATTTATGCTCATCAGTACTTCATTGTCTTTGAACATTTTTCCTGGGGGTAAATGCAAGGCACCCTATGCTGAAAATGTGATAGATAAGCTCAACGCTTACACCTTTACACACTATAATTTTCTCAATGTCCAAAAAATATTTTCCTCTAGTGTATAGAGGGTCCTTAATGTAGACAGTGATATAGAGTACTTGTTTGTAATGCAATTGTCATTCAGAACACTTGTTATCTTTTACAGTTATTTCAAGACCAATGTATTTTGAATTCCTGATTTTGATAAAATTTATGGATGGTCCATGCTGTATTGCACACTAGCTAATGTTTATACTTGATTTTCTTCACTTTACCATACATCTCAGCCACAAGCAAGTTGTCATTCTTGTCGACAAATAAACCACATGGCCTATCCAGACCACATCCATCTATGTAGCGTAAGAACTGTCCATCTTGGTCTAAGATATGTACGCAGTGGTTAGAACAGTCCGTTGTTAGAATTTGAGATTGAGTGTCTGTGGCTATGCCCCAGAAATCGGAAGAATTTTTCATGGTAGTAGATTGGTAACCAGTGTATCTAAATCGAAACTCTCCAGTTTGGTTGACCACCACAATCGCAGAAACTTCATTATCAGCAACACAGATATCTAAGTTTCTGTTTTCAGTAATGTATTTAATTTTATCATTTCCTGAATATAAAAGTCTTCCTTCATTATCAAACATGATTGTTTGGTTTTCTTTTGAGCCAGAATATCGGACAACTTTGGATTGTGTTTGATCAGCATTGAACATGGCAACTAAGAGTTCGTTACGTGATGTAACATAAATATTCACAGGATTCCATTCTACCAATGTAATTACTCTTTTTTCCTTTCCATTTTTCACTATATAAATAGTCTGCGTATCTCCATCGCTATATACTAGATCTCCTCTACTAGTTAAAGCAATGTCGTTGGGAAATTCTTCGGACAATGTCGTAATTGTATTAACAAGGGATCCCTGTTCATCGAAGCACTTTATTTCACTGTCCTGACCACTTGCCCATATTTCCCCATCACTGCTACAGGTAACACTGTATAGTTCAGAGATACCAGTGTCTACAGACGTGATGATTCTGGGTTTATAGTGCTGTCCATCTTCCAGAGATGATGCAGTGCCAGTTTTTATGTCTTCTTCTATTGTAACAGAGAATGGGAAAAGAGACCCAAACAGTTTGCTTAATTGAGTACTATCTATTTGTACTTGATGAAATATTGGCATGGGCACATGAATCTTTGGCGGGAACTTCCTCAATAATTGATTTTTTGATTTGTAATCCAAAGTTACAAGAACATCATTAGAACCAAGAATATCTGAAGATTCGAGCTTTATGTGCTGAACGATGGAATGAGCATGTTTTATTTCTGCCAAGTGTTTTTTAAGTGTTTCAAAGTGCTTTTCTTTCAGCTTATGAGCTTCCAGTAAGAATTTTTTGATTAATATGTCGACTTCTCTGTGCCAGTCTTCTCCATGTTTTAAAATTTGTGTTGTCAATTTCATGTATTCTCCATCTAAGCTGTTGATCTGAGTTTCCAGATTGCTGATGTCTGTTTCATATGCCGGGGAAATTATATTTTCGATTTCATCAACATCGCTTTGTATTTTCTGCTTTTGGGCGGAAAACATTTCAAAGAGATTTGAGAAGACGTGTCTTTTGTGCTTTTCAGATGAAATACAAAGTGAACAAACATGGACATTGCACTCACCACACTGAAACTCACAAAGTTTCTTTTCATGTATGTTACATTTTGGGAAGATTGGAGTTGATCTGCGCTTGTCGATTTGTACCACCTTATGTTTGAAAGGATCATCCAATATGTGATCACCAACACAGCCTTTGCAAAGATTGACAAGGCAGAAATCACAGTACAGTTGTCCTACTTCAGTTTCACACAGGTCACAACGAAGGACATCTTGTATACTGAGTTTAGGATCCATTTAGGAGGTCAAAATCTAAAATAAAGTCATGTTAATCAAATTTACAAGCTACCGTACAAAGATTTCTGTTAAACGCACGCGTATTCATTTAAGACTGTATCCCGTACAAAATGGCGTCTGTTTAGTCTCGTTTTCCTTCCTGTTCTAATTATACCTTTGAATAGGTTAAAATCAAATCAAGGTACAATGTACAGCTGCGGTGAATATTTACATATCAAGCATACCTGCCAACTAAACGACATCAAATATCGTGTATCCTTTGAACTTTTCATTTGGTGTCTTCATTTGGCTGTAATTCAGAAGTCTTGCTAATATATCAATTAGGATTAAGAGAGATGGAGGCCACAATGGGAAAGGTGTTTACTTTATTTATAGTATGCATACCTTAAATGTCAATCGCCATCGTTTAAATTTTAAAATTGTATTTGGCTCATCTACAGTAAAATGACAGTTCAACATGTAATTACACACATGGATAAAGGGATGAAGATAATTATGCCTAAGTATGATCACAGATATCTAATAAATGCAGAATTCTTCTCACATCAGATATAATCCTCCACATAAATGATCTGTTTTCATACACTGCATGTACTTGGAAAAGTGTACTAAATTTTGTAAAGTGGCTCAATGGTTTAAAGTTACTTCAAATGGTGATAAAGTTCCCGAAATTTAATCCGTGTTTGAGACTTAATTGACGTTCAATTAATCGTTCAATTAATCATGATGCACCACGATCAGGGAATATTGATTACAAGTATTATTACTGATAATTAAATTCATGTAATCTAGTAAATGTGTTTCACGGTTTATCGCTTTTGAAGCGAAAGTTCAAAGCATTTATTGAAAAATTACATGTATTCATTTGTTTTACTGTTTCATAATGTTTTCAAGTTTTATGCTTCCTACCTGTGCAATACACTGAAGACCGCTGAATGTCTTATATAATTTACATTTTGAATAAATATAGCTTGACAATACACTGTATATGATTTTAATTAAAATTAACATCAAGTCAGTGTTGTTTAAAATTACAGGTACCTTAAAAACTAACAGACCACTATCCTTTCAAAAATTCATTATAAATTTCACTTATATTGTATGGAAAATTACAGCTGAATGTTCCAATCCATTGCTGGCGTCTGAACATCATCCATTCCTGGGATACCAACTTGCTTCACTTCTAAAGACTTGATCCTTTTCTAATAAAGATATTTCAAAAATAGGACAGTAAGGTGCTTGTACTTTTATAAAATCTGAAGGTGGTCCCTGCTGTATTTTTCACTAGCTAATCTTGATACTTAATTTTCTTCAGTATACCATTCGTCTCAGCCACAAGCAAGTTGTCATTCTTGTCGACACATAAACCACATGGCCTATCCAGACCACATCCCTCTATATAGTGTAAGAACTGTCCATCTTGGTCTACGATATGGATGCAGTGGTTAGCACAGTCTGCTATTAGGATTTGATTTTGTCTATCTGTAGCAATGCCACAGGGACTGAAAGGATTTTCCTTGGCAGCGAATGGGTAACATGTGTATCTAAACCGAAACTTACCAGACTTATTGACTACTACAACTGCAGAAACTTCGAAGTCGGCAACACAGATATCACAGTTCCCGTTTTCTGTTATGTATTTTATCATTTCTTGAATATAAAGGTTTTCCCTCATTGTCAAAAATGATTGTTTTTCATTTGAGCCAGAATATCGGACAACTTTAGATTGTGTTTCATCGTCACTGAACATGATAATTAAGAGTTCATCACCAGAAGTTACGAAAATAGCAAGAGGATTCCATTCCAGTAACGTGATTATTCTTTTTTTCTGTCCGTTCTTCATCAACTCAATCGTTTTCCTTGTGCCATCAATATACAGTAAATCTCCTTCATTTGTCACAGCTATGTCATTAGGCCATATCCCTGATGTTGTATCAACTGCATTGAGTAGGGATCCTTGACCATCAAAACATTTTATTTTACTATCTTCTCCACTTGCCCAGAATTCTTCATCACAATTACAGGCAACATTGTAAAGGATTTTGAACCCAGTTTCTGTCGAAGTGATAAGTCTAGGTGTATAGAGCTTTGTATTCCCTGGAGATGATGCAGTTGCTGTGCGAATCAGAGAGACTTCCTTTTTCGTAATGGGGAATGGTAAAAGGGATCCAAACAATTTTCTAAGCTGTGTGCCATCTATTTCTTCTTGTTGAAATATTGCATCGACACTTGAACTCTTTGCTGGAGATTCATCAGGTCTTCATTTGCTGGTTTGAAGATCAAGGTTAATGGTAAATCATTAGAACAAAGAATTTCGGAGCATTCGAGCTTTATTTGTTGAAGTTCAGAATGGGCATGCTTGAATTCCGTGACGAGTTTTCTAAGTCTCTGTAGGTGTTTCTTTTTCAAATGACCTACTTCAAGTTTAATTTTTTCTATTATGATGTCGATTTCTCTGTGCCAATTTTCCCCATGTTTTGAAATTAATTCGGTCAATTTCAGAAACCCATAATCTGAGTTGTTGATTTGAGTTTCCAAATCAGCGATAATGTTTTCGTAAGCCGGGGAAAATTCATTTTCGATTTCATCAACATATTCTTGTATCTTTTGCTTTCTGGCGGCATATGTTTCAAGGAGACTGGAGAAGACGTGTCCTTTGTGAATTTCAGATGAAATACAAAAGGAACAAACGTAGATGTCACAATCATTACAAAGACACTCTCAATGTGTGTCTTTATGTATGTTGCATTTTGGAAAAGACGGAAATGATCTGCGTTGACTGATTTGTACGATCTTGTGTTTCAAAGGGTCATCCAGAATGTGCACACCAACACACTGTATGCAAAGACTGACTGGACATAAAATACAAAATAACTGTCCTCTTTCTCTTTCACACAGGTCACAACAAAGAACATCTTCTCCATTGAGTTTTTGGTCCAGTTTGAAGGTCAAGCTGTTCATTATTGGAAGCTAAAATCAAATCAATATCATTAATCTAAAGAAGACCAGTTACTAAATATTAGTAATGTAACTAGAATGTTAAGAAGTTTGATAAATATATCTATACAGTGTTAACTTTACCTTGTTCGGAACAACAATGGCGTCTGATTATAGCTGAAAGACAATCTTCCTGTTGTATTGAAATTAATAATGAACACTGGACGAATATGATATTTATAATACATCCTTGATAGAACTTGTACTTGAACTCCTTTTCATCAAAACTGAATGCGGCACATTTTTAAAAATAAAAAGTTAACAATTAGTACTGAACACACCTCAAATTCGTATAACATTTTTTTCCAATCATGTTCAAAAACGGATTTATTTATTGCGCAGTACGAAAATAGGTCATACTTTACAGACATCACATGATACAGTGGTAAACATAGAACTTTTATTTCGTTTTGAACTTTTGGTTCAATGATTTACTCAGTTCAGACTTGTCCCATGTTTCTCAGTTACTTGAAATTAAAAGCGTATTATGTCCCTTTATGATAACAGTTTATAAAGGATAACTGCACTTAACGCTGGGTTTTGGGTCTTTTTCCGTCGCTTCTGCTGCTTTTATATCGTAACCTTATTTCACTTTTGTATATTTACTAGGGAATTCTATCAATTTGGCACCAAATTTAAATGTTAAAATGATTTTAGACTGTGATACAATCGAATAAAATTGTTTTTTGTCCCTACTCCTTTCCAAATATAGAGATTTTACACTTACCTGCCCTTGATTAAACATTAGGTATGCATGAGAGGTGGAGCTAACATTGTAAGAATGTCTCTAAAATTAGACTAGATAAATAACAATGACATGTGTTAAAATACGTGATCACTCTTTCCCATTTCTCTCTTTATCCTTTATGGCACAAGTACACTACTATAATAGTATTTACAAAGGTTTCAAAATGAAATTAACAATATGAGCACGTACATGTAAGTAAAGAATATTTTGAATCGATGCCTGACAATTCAACGTGTTCGAAAAGAGTGTCCTAGTTAGCACAAAACATGCTATCTTACAAGTCACGTGACGGAATTTAGAATTCACAGAGTTACCTTAGGTAGGACATCACGTGGTGACTTATAATATTCAACATGCCGTAATGCCCTTGGTTACAACAGTGAGAGCGAATGGTAGAAGAAGCAGTTTTTTCTCTTTTAAACCATGAGCGCATGTTTGTCTATTAATCTCCTTTTGACACAATATTATTAATGCAAATATGCAACTACTGTTAAACGGAGAACAATAGACAAACATGCGCTGACTATGTACAAAGTCAGTGAAAAAGTGGGCGTCCTCATTATCGTACGGAGATTCAAGATATTGTGATGACCCCCACCTTTGAAAACAGCTTCGTACTTCGTAAATACATACTTTTAATCAATGTAATTACGTAAAGTTGTAGATTACATGTTGACCATTCCTGAAATTAAAAGAAAATTGCTTGTTTTGAAAGTTTATTTTGTAGCAATTTTCGCATGTCCTTAAGTGCAGTCATCCTTTCGTGTTTTTAACCCTCGGTTAAAAATCCAAGTTAATTAGATAGCGATCACGTGACCATGATACGTCATATGCGACAATGGCTGATCAGCTGTTTTATTACTAAAATGTACGCGATGCAAACTGGATTTTCTGCGTAATGAACGACCAAATCACTAATTTTATCTGCATGAAGTTGAATATTCAACCTTTTTGTTTGAACTGTTAGCAAGATAAAATACAAAAATTATATGTAAACATGGTAAATTATCCTGTTAACAGTGATGAAAGCGAGGAAGACGATCGCGAGCGAAGACGAAGAAACTCGCCTGCACAATATAATTATATAATTTGTCATCTTATCACACGTATTAATCAACCTTATTCACAAATTTAAATTTACAGAGCTTTGTTAATTCATTTTATTTAATAATCATAAATTAATTAAAATCGTAATGTAAATACTTGAGCGACTGAATCGCCATTGAAATCAAAAGGGGAATGCGGGACCGGGGTAATTATGGCATGTCAAACGTTGCAATATTCGATCTTTTGCATTTGCATTGTATAATTTTCCATTTGCATTGTATAATTTTTATTTGTATTCTATAATTTTCTATTTGTATTGCATAATTTTTCATTTGTATTGTATAATTTTTATTTGTATTCTATAATTTTCTATTTGTATTGTATAATTTTCATTTGTATTGTATAATTTTTATTTGTATTGTATAATTTTCCATTTGCATTGTATAATTTCTTATTTGTATTGTAAAATTTCTTATTTGTATGCGATAATTTTTCATTTGTATTGTATCCGCGGACTGTTTATTTGTTTCGTTACGAAGGATTTCATTGGTCAAGTTTCAGCCTGTATCGGGTTGAAGATGTTCCGGATGCTCAAAGCAAACTGGGCTCATATGTATTTGCTTGATTGATTGATTGATTATTGTTTAACGCCGAGTCGGCAATATTTCAGCCATATTTCGGCGGCATATGTATTTGCGTGCATGTTAGACGGTCATTGGATTCTAAAAAGGGAGCGCTGGTAGATGGCAAATAAATAATCTGTCCTTAGGAATGCTGACTGAGAAAATAAATAAATTGACCTTGAGTGGTGGTAAATACCCCCACCCCCAAAAAACTGAGTTTTCGGGTTTGGGCGGATTTTCTTCTTTTTGTTTTTCTCCTTGTCTCTGGCCATATTGGAAATAAATATTCTCTCCTGCGAGAGAATGAAAATAAATAATCGGATTCGACATCCCCCGATAATCAAATGGTCGTCCCTTAGCATGCACCGCAAATAGAGGAGCCGAGTTTGTGTTTGTAGAGAGTGCGCGATCGGAATTGTGGGAAGGGTACCAGACTAAGTTTGTGATGGGCACCTGAGACCTTTATACAGACTAAATTTTATGACCAATGACATCCTTCGTAACGAAATAAATAAACAATCCTCGGATACAATACAAATGAAAAATTATCGCATACAAATAAGAAATTATACAATACAAATAAGAAATTATACAATGCAAATGGAAAATATAGAATACAAATGAAAAATTATACAATACAAATGATTTTTTTACAACACAAATGGAAAATATAGAATACAAATAAACATTATACAATCCAAATGGAAAATTATAAAATCCAAATGGAAAATTATAGAATACAAATAAAAATTGTACCATAGGACTGGCGGTAAATTAAGATTTTGCTTTGATGTTGCTGTGGTGTATTTGCCAGTAGAATCACAGTTTTTTAAGTCACGCCCACCTTTTGGCATCAAGCCATACTGTGACAAGACCTTGACTGATGAATGAATGATGTCAATTTCCAGACCTGGCTGATGAATGAATTAAGTCAACAAATAACATTAGCTTGTCGATGTTCGCTTCATAAATGTTTCTGTATGATTTCTCCGCGTAACCTTAATCAGTAAATGATACGTCCTATCTCAAGTTCTCGTCATTCTCTTTCCCGTCTCCAAATAGAAATAGCAATTTCACATCAGAAGTCCCGCGTTTGTTTGTTTTTTTTTTTGTTTTTTTGTTTTTTTTTACTCCAATACAATTTCAAACTTTCATTAAAATGTCACAAATCACTTCATTTTTTTCTGTACGCCGATTGCCATATAGAATAAGTTCAATAGCGATGTTTCCTATGTACTCATCCCCCCTTTAAAAAAAAAAAAAAAAAAAAAAAAAAATCTAGAAAATAAATTTTCTTTCAGAGTTCACGGCTTGAATATAAAAGCCGACAATCGCTACCCCTGTACCTTACAAAAATCATGTTTTCTGCGTCTTCAACATTCCAAAGGTACAATATCCTCACACGTACCAATTCCGATTTTTTTTAATCAACAATTTGCAGTTGCTGTGACGCAGCTAAGTATGATCCTTGCAGATGGAGACAGCTATTTATACAGGCTCCGGACCGTGGCTTGACACCTCGTAGTAGGCGGTGCTAATTATCAACTTGCTTTTCTCTCATTGGTCCTCTGGTACAAGTAACTTACACAATAGATATTAATTGGTTAGGGGTAAATACACTCACAGTTTTTATTCACTCGGGGCTCCGCCCCTCGTGAATGAAAAACTGTGAGTGTATTTACCCCTAACCAATTAATATCTATAGTGTAACTATAACTTATACAATACAAATTGAAAATTATACAATACAAATGAAAAATTATACAATACAAATGAAAAATTATACAATACAAATAAAAATTATACAATACAAATGGAAAGTTATACAATACAAATGGAAAAGATCGAATATTGCAACGTTTGACATGCCATAGGGTAATTGATAATAATACCTATAGTTTGAAAAGGCGACGGGATCTTTACTAATTATCCTTTCTTCTATCATCAGATACTAGTTACTGTTATTGAAAATGACAAGCTCTGCAATAAATCAGCAAGTTTTTTTTTCGAGATTTAGAATTTTTATTTTGTTACTAACATCATTACACCATGTATACCTACACAGTAGTCCGTTTATAACAGGGACCTTTATACTATATACTATGTTAGTATATAGGTCCCTGGTTTATAATATTTACATGCATATATATTTATAAATTCATCTTTAAATAAATGTTTATACTTAAATTAGATCAAGTTCATACTTCTATACTTATTGAAAAGCATGTAAGATTCAGAATTTTCCTCATTACCCTGCATTTGTCGTTGATAACTTCGTTAAAAGTATACAGTTTCTCATCTAGCTATCACTGAATTGCCGCATATGACGTCACAGCCTTATGGCGCCGAAATCCGAGTGAAATATGCATATCGCCGTATTTGAATTTCAACTCTAAATTTCTCTATTAAAATATGCTTTGGATATTTTACTTGAAAAAGACGTTAATGGTAATCTAACAACCAAGCTTTATGATAAACGTGATGACTTTAACTTTTCAATCGTCAACTT